CGGTTTCTTCCCACACGGAAAAACACTCATTAATTGTCTGAAAAACATCTTAACATATATACGCACGTCCATGTGTCGGGATATTGTGCAGTTGTGAGATGCAGTTTGCAATGAATGATGCTATGCAAAACAACGACGATTATTATTATGAATGTTTGCACTTACAAACAATTGCGTGAACGCTTGTCACGCATAGAGCTGCAATAGGCGCGATATGCAAAGCCACGAAGACTGTGTTTCAAAGCTTAATACATGAGGGGGAGAGAAGTGGCTGCCGTTGGCTGCATCACTTTGATTATCGGGCCACAGCTAACATCGACTGGGAAGTGATAAGTAAACATAACTGTGAAACCATTAATATCAGTGCCTACATTATTACAGACCAATTCAGACCTTATTGGTCACCCCGTGCCCTTATACATCTCAACGGTTCATCCTACAAAGTTCCATCACAAGGGAGAAACACAAATTGACCAAAACATGTTTTTGCCCGTATTGAGACGGTTGTACGTCGTATGCACCTGAAATCTCAGTTTCCCTGTACAAGAATTCGGGTAAACCGTATGTGTCGACAGGTATGAGTAAACCTGTCCTGGGTACCCTCTCTTCACTGACCCGCATTGACCACTGCAATGAAATATGGTCCAACAAGCCACATAACTGAGAGATCATGGGGAGATATTCATCTGGTAGTGGATTGTCTAAGGGCTGTGGCAATCATTAATGATAATAATAATACAGCAGTATCAGACTGCATTTATAAAGAAGTCATAATAATAGTTTACGTACATTTTCTAATCCACCACTACAGTAACATACCGTGTTGTCATGGGGATTTGTTAAGTGTATAAATATAAATATTCCAACGTGATTCCGATAGTTGTATTAATCCCATTGGGGCATTTAATATAGATTCCAGATGTATTAAGCTTTTTTTATTATAAAATTTTCGGCCCAAATCTGTATAAAACAAAGTTTGGTCTTAATTCACGTAGGTTGTCTGTTTTTTTTCTTTCTGATCGTTGCAACCAGGTCACAGCGACTTAGAGCAAAACTTCAACACTATTTTAGGGAAAATGTCAGGAGGAAATAACAGGCCAAAGGGATAGAATGCGTCTAATTACTTTTGATAAATTACAGTGCTTTAACAGGAATGTTCTGTTTATATTAATAGCAAAACAATGTGTACTACATCAATGTGAAGAACAGCTGAGTCACGATGTCGAATTGCATAAACTGAATATAACATCTAAACCAATGGTCCGATTAACATTGCAATATTGCACTTCACAGTGAACTTATTTTTTTAGAAAACAGACTCAATTCATATGGGAGTTTTCAGAATTTTAAGCAACCATTAAATGCACACAATGTAGACAACGTTTAAAGATTATGAAACTGTAATTGTACTTAAGTGTGGTGCTTTTCCATTTTAAGTGGCTATTATTGGACTATTCAGCACAGAAAATGGTTAAATACTCTGACATCTCCATGTGCTAGCGAGTGTCATCATCACATCACCAGATGAAAATACATTTCACGAAATCAGTTCCATGATAAATACAAGGAACATTTAAAATCACAACTATTTTAGAGATATAGTCAGAAGTACTAATTGTAATTGCAGGTGCAAAGAACAAAGAACAGCCACAACAACATTATTATTTGACAGCGAATGTGAATTTATATTTACGCGATCTAACCCAGAAAAAAACTCTATTATGGTTCTAAATGCTGTAGATTTGAAAATAGCGGTCTGAGTGTTATGGCATGAAACAAACAAATATATGCAAGGGGAACTTTTGGAGTAATAAAAAAAATCAGTGTTTGAGAAAAAAACCTTTGGAAGACAACATCACAGAACCAGTGCAGTAATTGATGTAGCCTTTTCAAGTGCTCTGCTATAATGTCAATAAACCCTCCGAGTTGGAATAAGTCAAACGAAGTGAAATACCAAATGCAAAATACAATATTTTCATTTTTTTCAGCCAATGACGACCGGGTGGAGATCATCAACTTGCTATACTTGATAACATAATTTAAGCAAGGGTGGCTGAAGTTCCCCCATCAAACCCAGGTTCCCGGCTGTGCTGGCCCTGCGTTCAGACATATTCATGGAGAATTGACAGATTCAAGCGCGTCATGTCTTGACAAGAAGACAAAACGTGCGTGTCAGATTAAAAGCTGGCCACCAGCACATCATAAGGACATTCAAGAGGCAAATAGAAGCTTCGTATGACATGAAGCTGTAAGTAGTGACAACTGATGGACACAACTAATGATAGGATGACAGTCAACAGAGGACACGCATCAGTCAAATATTGCATTGATTCATAACCAGGTGGGTGCCCATAAAAGCGCGTCAGTCTTGCAAAGGGAGACTAATGGACACACTCAGACTTGCAGCAACCTGTAAACATGCAAATGTTCAAGGAATTACATTAAACCAGTGGAAGCCAGAGAGAGTATTTACTCAGGAAAATCACACAGGAGGGTCCTGCTCCAGTATTGGAATGTTGGCAAGTTCAGGTTTTGAAGGAGCTATTTGGAAAACAAAATCCAAATGGAATAATTTAAACGCACTGACTTAACGACTATGTTCTGATTCGGGTTATTTGATTGCGTAATTTTCCATTGCTAAAAACAATGTACAGTCGTTGGTACTGACCAAACATCCAATTGCATTAATCAATTGCGATTACACAGCAGCAATATCGTTCCCTGGTAGTAAAACTCGCCACGACCCTCCTCATGAATACGAGTCTTCAGACTCAGTGAGGCTTTCCTGGGTAAATAAGAGTAATGATAATGATGATGAAGAAAAGCATCTAAAATTAAACTTATCTATGTTACTCACCGCATATATTTGTATATTTATCAATGTGTTGATACAAAATGTTATCGAATTGTATATTGCAAGTACTTGTTACTTATGGGGTAACAAGCCTTTTTGCCCGTCCAAGGACGGGTGTATTGCAGTAAATCTGAAACTTGCAAGCGAAAATCAGACCGCGACGTGATATTTACTGCATTCATTCGTGTGCAGTTTGTAAGGGCGCGGTGACACAGACCTATTTCATTTAAAGGTTATAATCCCTTGTTCGTCACGACGTCCTTTTTACTTTGATGTCTCAACAGCAGCGTTACGGAGATCACGTGACGAGAGGGTTCTGCCTTTGTAGTGAGGGTTGTCAGTTGACGCCGAGGAGGGGGGGAGGAGGCGCCTCGCCCCTCCCCCATGTGGAGTGACGTCACCTTGTGATGATTATTAATGAGGGGGGCTGTTCGATGTGGAGTTACGTCACCCGCTCATGATTATTAATGAGGGGGGCTGTTCGATGTGGAGTTACGTTACCCGATCATGATTATCAATGAGGAGGGGTGGGGGGGGGGTGTCGAGTTTGAGGACGTCACCTGCTCATTAATATTAATGAGGGCGGCTGGTCGATGTGGAGTTACGTCACGAGCGTTAAGGACATTCCTGGGTGATTATAGTAGGAATATGCGTTGCTAAATGTGTTATTTTTAATGTCAACGATTTCATTGATAAACAGTAACGTATAAACGTTAGTGAAATTCAAAAGTCCACATTTATGACTTCAGTAGATGCAATGCTGAGTGTTAATACAATTCTGGTACGAGGTGCAGCATATTGCACAACGCTGTAATACATTATAAAGTAAATTATATCAGTGCCGCATTAATGTACGATTGTAATGTATGAATGGACGTAATTTAATTCGCTGTGCAGGCTTTATTTTGGAAACAATTGCGCAATATTGTTGCATTGCATTCAAGACAATTGTGGATTAGCTTAGGCACTGGATAGGGAATTATTCACCGAGCAGTGGATCGAGAATGACGCATATGCCGTGGCTGGTGACGTCATCGCGTAAATTATAACTCGTGACGTAATACACAACCATTAGCGGATATGACGACATTTACAAATTAACAAAAGTCATTTTACAAATTGGCCTAGCATTTATTGCAGAATGTGTACGAACAGCCACGGTTATTTATTAGTAAAACTCGTAGCAAATTTAAAAATATATCAAATATATAATTAATGTTTTTTTTAGCCACGCCTTTTCCGTTATAGTTGTTGATGGGGGGGCAGAGGCGGGAAAAACTCGATTCTTGAAACGAATTCTCAACTGCATTGATTCATTAATCGATTCCTCTTGTTTTTCGATTGTTCTGCCCATCGAACCTATAGTGTATGCATGGCGATTTAATAACCTCCACGGACACGTCCGATCTATGTGAGCACATCGCATGTGACGTTCGAGAATCGTAAAAAAAAGTGATTTTTGGCCGTCGAAATCGATGCAAGAATGAATCGCGGACAAGGAATGAAATCGGAGAATCCTGACATGGCTCGAGTGACGATTGAGGTCCCACCGACCCCCTCCCCTCCATCCCTCAACACACCCCCTTCCAGGCAATTCCCCCCCCCCCATTCCCTTCCCCTCAATACCCCTCCCTTCAATTACACCCACACCCCCCATTCCCCTCCCCTCAATACCCCTCCCTTCAATTACACCCACACCCCCCATTCCCCTCCCCTCAATACCACTCCCCTCAACCACCCCCAAAGACCCCCCCGCCTTCAATTCCCCCCTCATCCCCCTCCCCTCAATATACCCCTCATTCCCCTCCCCTCAATTCCCCCCTCCCCTCAATCCACCTCCTCCCGTCAATCACCCCTCTTAGCCCCATCCCACCCACTATCACTCACGCTCCACCGGCGGCGTCAATCGGACCAATCGTGTTCGAGCGGCCACGCTCTCGACCAATGAATGGGCTCTTATATGCGATAGCCCCGCCCTGTTTTATACTCCCCCCCCCCTACCTCGGCTAGAATGGGGGGATTGTCTGCCAACCGGTGAGCCCCCCCCCCACCATACTGTGTCGCCCATTCAACCAATAAGCGGGCTCGTTCACGCGTAGTCCCGCCTTTTTTTTACTGCCCCCCCACCCGTCACCGGGGTGGCCCCGCCTCCCCGCGCGCGTGCGCCCTCAGTAGTGGGTGCCCGGCGTAGCACGCGCGCGCTTTCCCTGGTGTCAGCGGCGTTGGCTTGCGCAGTCCGTAACAGCAACAATATAAATACGACTCCAATAGAAGCAATTCGTAACAGATAGCGTTAATTACACAACGGTAAATAAGCAACGTAGTCGTCGAGAAAAAATATATATTAATGCCGGTTGTTGAGATAAGCGGCGTTCGACGCGGATGTAAAACGTGAGTATATTGTTTGCTATTAATGCAACTATATTTATTTATTTTATCTCATTGTGTGGTGGGAGTAGTACAAAGCATTTTAGACTCGTATACTGCTTAACAGTAATACTTAATATTCGAGTATAATTAATCTAACGATCATAATTGAACGGTGCTGTGTTACGGTCGGAGGAGATGGGGTATAGTTTTAGTGGTTTCTAAAAATATAAAAAGCTTAAGTGTATATACCCTTGTCCCCCCATTCACTTGATTGATCGAGTATTTTAACGTTTTCATTTGTAATTGTATAAATACGTTGCACAGATTGATGCAAGTGAAATGTTCCTTATGAAATTGTAGATATTTATATATGTCATAGGGAGTACTGGGTTGACGTACAGTACTGTATTTACATTAACAACTGTAGCTAGTGTGTATAATAATATAACTTGCGTTTAATGATCATGTTTAGCAGCTCTTTTGATATTTCTACTGCTGGATGAGGCCCTCCGTCCAGCCGTGGGGCTTGTTTGACCATACTTCACGCTGGTTAGACACGGGACCATAGGAAGTATAGTGCGTACAGTATAACAGTTCATTTTCTGCACTGCTATCCGACGCCTGTCACGAAGGCTTGCTTATAAATAATCCTTATCAGCAAATCAAGTCCGCGTGGGTTAAGCGTGTTCATGACACACATCCTATTTAATTGGTTATTTCGTTTAACCCGCAAGAAAACAATAACGGCTACACAGCAGCCAGCAACTGTCCATGACTTTCATACCTGGCAACCCCTTATCATTCATTGCCCTTACTTTATTACAGATCAATTCAGACCGTATTGGTCATCCCCACGCACCTTATAATAGCTCAACGTCCATCCGTCAAAGAGTCCCACATTCAAGGGAGAAACACAAACAAATAGACACGACATTCGTTTTGTTGCCCGTGTCGAAACTGCTGTACGCCGCCGTATGTACCTGAATATACTCAATTTCCCTGTACAAGAATACGGGATAGTAAAACCGTGTGGGTTTGTTTGTTCGATCATTAAACTTGAGCGAGTGTACCACAAGGTTGATGACAAGGGATGTTCTAAACAGGAGGCTATGTTTCGCATGTGCATATTGTATGAGTAACACTTCTATGCAACCACGGGTTCGCGGAGTTTTAATTAAATTTTAAATAATATATCGATAAGGATGTATAAAACAATACTGTATACATAGTGTTTTAAAAAAAACGATTGCAATCAACACCAGGATATGCTTACAGGTTTTTTTTTCTTCTTCTGGGAATAAGTGAACAGGACTTGGTGAATAAGTGCAAACATACGGTGTGTTTTATGTGTAGAATTCAAGTGATTTGGCCTGTTTATAAGTAAAGAAAAAAAAGGCAAATTGATAAATGCTCATTATGTAGACAAATCCAGCCGCAATCTATGAGTTTTTGCTACGACCAAATCACTGATTGCCCTCCCAATTTCTGATCTCAAGCTATTTAAAATACATCGCTGTCAACCCATACGGTTTATACCTCGTATTCTTGTACAGGGACATTGGGTTTCCAGGTCCATATGGCATACAGCCGTTTCAATACGAACATTTTTGTGTCTGTTTGTGTTTCTCCCTTGTGATGGGACTTTGTAGGATGAACGTTGAGATTTTTAAGGGGCACAGGGTGACCAGTACGTTCTGACTTGGTCTGTAATAAGGCAGGGCACTGATAATGGGTTGACAGGTATGCAAAAATGTGTGTGTAATGTCAAATATGTCCATTGTCTTTCGGCTATTTTGGTTCTTCCCACATTCCAAACATTCGTGGACTTCGCCAAAGGAGCACAATGCGGTCAGAGACCCTCTTGGATAAACGAGTCTTGGGACTCAATGCTGATTTCCCGGATAAATTGTTCGAAAACGAATCGATTTCTTTATTATTTATTAAATGCAGCTTACCAACAACACTCACGTCGTTAAAGTCCCGCGGTACACGGCGTACTGTACTGTGCACACACACACACATTCGAGTTCAGCAGGGCACAAACCAGCTGCCTTTAATGAGCTGTTACTGCTCCTCGACGCGACCCCCTTTTCCCGCGGCTCATTCATTCACTCACCCATTAAAGCCCTAACGTGTGTGTGTGTTACCGTCCTCCGCACACGTGTGTAACACGGCACTGTACAGCGTGGTGGTGTCGACCATCCATACCATTTATAATCCACAACTTGGGAGGGTGGTTATTGTAGCGTACGCGCAGTGTGCGCAAATTAGGCTCTCTCTTCCGTCGTTTGTCAACTATTGATTCATTGCATCTCCGTTTCGAGTCTCGCGTGCAGTATTGTTGCGGTAGCGCGATGATAACGATGCCCACTGTCGTTTACGCAACAGGGCAATTATTTGCCGAGTCAAAATTACGGTATCGGCATTTCAGAACGGGGTGGGTGGGGGGGTTCTCCTCTCTGCACCGGTGAGATGTCAGACGACGTTGCATTGCAGTGCGCACGTGGTTGAGTTCACGCTATGTGTGGAAGGGAAACCCACCGGGAAATATATGTGACTGGATGTTTTGTTGTTGTTGTTGCACAGTTGATCCAATAATTTTAATCTTGCTGCTGTGCTCACATCTATCTCCTCGGCACGTCGAAACACCGTGTGGTGTTTGTTGCGTGTCGGCTGTTCAGTCATTGCAGTTACTGTGGTGTATAGTGAATGCACTTAGATGTGGCACGTTATCTCGCGGTAGAGTGGTGTTTGCTTGTTTATTACGGCTCAAGAGGGGGGGGGGGGGGAAATCAATTCCTCTGTACGCTTCGACTCAAAACGCGCATTTCATTATTGTCATGTTGTCACATCAGCGGCCTCTACGTACGTCAGCGCATTTGACGGAACCACATCGGACTAAATGGCATATTTTAAAATTGTAATTTCAATATATGGTCAAACACAGTGACCTTTATTGAAAAAAAACACACACTGGCCTTTAATTGCAAATTATATGCACACATATACACTAGACACACTTTACATGTATATTCTTCATGAGAGCATGACATTGTTTGAAGAGCATATCAGATCGCCGCTTTGGCCCATTGCCAACGCGAGTTCACAATACATGTGTAAGCTTCTGTTTATGGCCAATGCTTAAAGGTTCACGTGACGTTTTTGTTTAAAGCAAATTTGTATCTTAACCGAGATGTTATACCTTTATGATGACCTTCAGTAAAACATAATTTGGTCAATGCATGTTACCGCTGGCATCTGTTTGTGTTTCTGTTGCTGCATTTCACGTTTTTTTTTCTAGAGACTTACATGTGATGTACCGTATTTTTGTTAGGAAACATTATTAAACCATAGCCATGGTCTCTTGCCATCCGAGGGTTACAATACCCCCCACTGAGATACTATAGTGCTATAGGTACATTTGGTTTATTTGTTTTATTCTGTTTTGTTTTCTTTGACAGATTCTGATAATTCATCATGGGGCTCGGCTAAGGTAAATAAGGAAAGCTAGGTGGAACACCGTTCTATATCTACTGTCTAGTTTTATTATTTTCTTTATTTGTAAACGGGTGATGTCGCAGATAGAACATGAACGACCATCTCGATCTCGGGAAAAGGCATCTCCTTCTGTAGCCTCGGCTACACCATCATCATCATTAGCATTGACATCACCACCAAATTTGGCATCATCACTGTCACCCCCAACATCGTCAGCATCATCACCATCGTCATTAGTGACGGCAATAGTAGCAGCAGCAGCATCGTCAGCTGCAGCTGAGCCATCTCCTTACACAGCGTCATCATCATCATTGGCATCACCACGAATTTTAGCAATATTACCATCACCACCACCAACATCAGCAGCAGCAGCATCATCATTGGAGACAGCAGGGTCATTAGCATTCACAGCCTCAGAGACTGAGCGCAGACATGAAGAGGCGAGTGTAGCGGAGCCTCTGAGGAGGTCTCGCAGCACCGCCCGTGCCGGCATGCCGAAGCGCTGCGCCTCTCTCTCCTCGTCTGAGACGACGGCGGTGCCACAGGGCGTCCCCGTCCCTGAGAGACGCGCCTGCGGAACGCGGCGCTCGCTCGACTCGACGTTGCGCAGGCCAGCCGCCTGGCCCTCCGCAGACCGGCCCTTCGCCAGACGCGAGGACCCTGTGTCGCTGTCACCGCCGGCGTTGCTGCCTTGGGCATGCCCGAAAGTGGGTCACGCGGCCCGGGGAGGGGCAAGGCTAGCGAGTCCCGACGCACGCCGGGCTACGGGCCCCGATTCTGTCGGTGACGAAGGAGCGGGATCGGCCGCCGACGGTAATAGAGGGCGACTGAACGTTGATGACAATCGAGAGGTCGCGGACACTGGGGAGCAGGGATGTGCAGAAATTACAGGCGGGGACTGCAGCGATGTCAGAAACAACAACAGCGGGGGCAGCAATGGTAAGGCGAACAAGACCTGTGAACGACAAGCTGATGAGGTGCAAGAGGAGGAGGAGGAGGAGAGCGGGGGCGTTTGTGCGGTGCAGTCGCCCGAGCTGCACGGGGATGCGTGCGAGTCTGATCGCGAGCCCGGGGTGCCCAGCCCGGTGTTCGTCCGCCGGCAGCAGCTGCAGGAGCAGCAGCAGCAGCAGCAATCGCAGTCGTCCGCTCGAAGGCGTTCCTCAAGCGTCGAGGCGGCCCTGGCGGATGCTGCGGCGGCCACGGCGAAGCGCGAGAAGGAGGAAGAGGAGGCGGAGATGAAGGCCATCGACACGTCGACTGACGGCCGCTTCCTCAAGTTTGACATCGAGCTGGGGCGTGGCTCCTTTAAGACGGTGTACAAGGGGCTGGACACGGAGACCTGGGTCGAGGTGGCCTGGTGCGAACTGCAGGTGAGGGCGTGCGAGGGTGGTGGCGCGGGTAGAGATGGGCTCGAGTCTGTTGATGTTTTCTGATGGTAATTCTAATTTAGTATATTTGGCATTTGTGCCATTAAGGTAGTATAAGGCTTTCGCGAATTGACTAATTCACAAATGATTATAGTCTGGCTGTAGAAGGGAGATATAGTTACGTGAATTTACCCACATAGCAACGAGATCGAGAGTGGTTGTAGGCCTTGTGAAATTAATAATATAGGCCACCTAAAATGCACTAAATATATAGTGAGTAACTATCATTGACTTATTTGTGAAGGTGACCAGTTGGCTGGCAAGTTTAAGGTGAGATGGTGTTAGGCCTCCACCACCTGACATGGTTGTAATGTTTACAAAGATAATGTTTTATATGCAATGTAATCATCACATTCTCACCACCAAAGGTCACCCGGTGGCTAAATACTCAATCACTTAATTCGGCATCAGTATATGACGTTTCGCTCAAGCTGCTTTGCGCTTCATCAGCTAAACCACCAATGTTGAGCCTTATTGACCAGAATTAAATCAATTCATTGGCACATGTAAATATCTTTGTAAACATGACATTCTTGTTGGATGCTGGAGGGTTAATGACGATAATTTTGGTATAAGACTACTCGTTGTCTAGCCCTGAAAACAAACGTGGATCAGGTATTTTTATGTTATTTCCTGAAGTGCGTGGATTTTTTCTGGGGCGCTGCAGTTTCTTCCTTATGGAAATTACTAATGAACCCAGGGGGGACCAACATTTCAACCGTACTACGAAAAGGTCTTGAGGTTCACTGTGGTTTTCCTCGAGTCATTCATTGCGGTTTGCTACACCGTGCTGTTAAATTGGTGTGCTGCTGTTAGCAGCTGCAAAGTCCATTATCCATTGTGTGCACTCAGCGTGCATGTTTTATATTTACAGCATACAGTACACTGAATCTCTGAGAAAGTGTTGCTGCTTACTGCTTATAAAAAGAAAAAATTCTGTCATTTGAAGTTGAATTAGGACAATTCATTCTGAAGTATTTGCTCTGCAAGTTTAGCTCAGCAGGGAACTCAGTGTATTCCTATGTATGCATGTGTGGATAAAGTGGCACAGTGAGGGCTACACACACACACACATTGTGTTTGGTGTGTCCGCTGAGTTCAACTTTGTGAAGAGTGTTGTGGTTATTTTAAAAGCAGGTTACAATTTAACTGCGGTGATTGATGGGCCCTTCAAAATAAGCAGCACTTGCAGGAGTGTTACAGGAACGGATCGTTTTGCTGCTTTTGTGCCACCCTCTCCGCTGTCCAGACGTTGCGGCAATAAGCTGTCAGTCAGACTTGGAAAAACCATGCATACTTAATGATGAAAACACTAAACGCTCTACCTGACCACTGGGGTATTATGCAAGAATGAGCAGTACCTTGCCCATTTCTGAATATGTCGTAGGTATGTTTTGAGCAAAAACGTTCCATCGTCACATTTAAAAATATTAAATAATATATATTTTGCCACTTAAATGTCCCAGCTCCCGTAAGGATGACATGAAGGAGGTGCCAACAAATTACGTGTGTTTGCAGGAATTCACTGTCGCACTGCCCTGCACAAAACAAAATGAAGTGCATTGGCTATACTGCGGATTATGACTTTAGTGTGACGACTGTAATATGTGAAGTGTGAGGTCATGCTGTAAATCTTCTTTACACAGAGCAGGATGCGATTGATTGAAGTTATCGGTCTAGTGCGTAGTAAATTATGTTGGCGTGTATTGACATTTACAAACAGATATGACATCAGCTGGCATCGGGCTCCAATTATAATTTAGACAGGGTCCTGTCTTTGTGATATGGTTCCTTGAGAGGGGACATGATAACGTGAGCGATTATTTAAACACATTCCTGCGGAGGGAGCTGGTAGGAACGTTGGCTTGCTCGGTCAATGGCCAGGGTCAACGGCGGTGTGGTGTATTCCGCAAATATGCCCGACTGTGAGGGCGGGCACAAGCCGGCGTGAGTAGGTTAAACGTTGAGTTTTATAAGGGCACCACGGGGTGACCAGCCCCTCCCCACCCAGCCCCACCCCTCCCACCCCCCACCCAGCCCCACCCTCCCCACCCTCCCCAGCCCCTCCCCACCCTCCCCACCCTCCCCAGCCCCTCCCCACCCTCCCCACCCTCCCCTCCCTCCCCACCCAGCCCCTCCCCACCCTCCCCTCTCCACCCAGCCCCACTCCTCTCATTTTATCCGGGTGTCCGGATACACGTGGACAGACATCCACAGACATACACAATTAATCCCCTGCCTCCTGTGATAATTAATCCCGGTTGGGCTTCCAGTCCACTACGTTTCCTACCAGTAATGCCCACTAGGAGCGCATTTGTTATATATCCGTGTGTCCGGATACACGAGGACAGACATCCACAGACATACACATTTAATCCCCTGCCTCCTGTGATAATCCCGGTTGGGCTTCCAGTCCACTACGTTTTCTTACCAGTAATGCCCACTAGGAGCGCATTTGTTATATATCCGGGTGTCTGGATACACGTGGACAGACATCCATAGACATACACAATTAATCCCCTGCCTCCTGTGAATTAATCCCGGTTGGGCTTCCCATCCACTACGTTTCCTTCCAGTAATATACCTTAAATAGTAGTATGCTTGTTTAGAATTTGTGCAATTCCCCAGTCCTATTAATATATGAACAGCTAAAGGATGCAGAGTTTTAAGTATTTTTTAAACTTAATATATGACGAGCCTTGTCCTTGTCAGTGGTGCTCTCGTTTAGCTCCCTGATAATTCAGAATTGTTGTGTTCATTTGCCCGCATATTGTCTGCGTTGTGGTTCGATATTTCTTTGCAATATAATGTATGCCTATGGAGTGTTCATTGTAAGTGCTCTTTCTGAAAGCTTGTTTTTTTATGAAGAGAGCTTCATGTTTTTTAAGGGGTTTTCTTTTTTACAACGTTACCAGCGGCTGTTTGCAGTTACACAAACCAGTGTTTAAACAAGCAACACAAATGTGATCTTTACCACCATCTCCAGCCACATATCCTCCACATCGATCAAAGAGACGTTCTTTAAAAGTCCAACAGATGACAATTGTTGGTAAGCAATTTTCTCATTTGCTCTTTCAGACAGACAACCAGCGACTCGGGTTAAAATTACGGGCATGAGTATACAACAGTGTATTTACGCCACCCATTTTTTTCATATTGTTGTTCGTTAAGCATATTTTTTTGTTTGCCATTAGAAAGCTTTACTTATTTTAGAATATTATGCCGTGTGCGTCTATACTTATCTTGGGGTCAATGGGAACAATAAAAAAAATCTGCACATTTATTTTTTTTATCAGGATTTCGGATTGAAACCCAACCGGGTGGAGGCATTCAGAGATTCCACAAAAGGCAGACAAAGCATACTTGAATGATTTATCGTGCGCTGACAATGCTATTGCCGGGTGCGTCTCCCTTGACAGAGTTTCAGGACCAGAGCCAGCAACAACACAAAAAATAATTCTCCTTCCCCCCCACCCCTTTTGCATGCGCCTCCAAAAACAGATCCCCCGTATAGTTTAAACAGACTGTTGGGGCAGAGGTGCTCGCCTCTAGCGAGCACCTATGAAGGGCGGCATGGCACACGAGGGGGCGGGTGGCCAGCATCACGCCCCGACTGACTGCCTTTGTCTCCCTAGTGGCGATGTTTACACAGCGCACTAGGTATTCATTTGAGGCAGAGTCGACCTAGGGGCGTCCCAGGACCGGTTCAGATAATCGTCACTGGCGTTGGCCGTGAGCGGGAATCAAACTCCGGTTGCCGGGTTCGTAGCGCAGCGCGCTAACCGCTACATCACCGCTCCCCCCACACACGCTCCACCGTAACAAAAAAAAGTTCGCAGCTGTAGTTTTCATTCAGAGGGCTTAATTTAGTGATGCTAATGCAATTCTCCTTCAAGGCTTTCAATTACAAGTTCAACCGGGTTCAGGGCTGGCTGCGGTTCAGACGCTTAATTATACGTTTTGATTGATTAGTGCGATTGCAATTATGCTGGAGCACTGTAGATCTCTTTTCCAGTTTTGCTGTAGCTCAATGTCACGTTCTTTCAGTTCAGCTTCAACACACGCTATTGGTTGAATGACTTATAAAAGGTCTGCTGGCAACAGAGGCTTGTCTCTGTGATCCTTCATCTGGTTAAATAATGGGAACTACTACTACTGTTACTGCTGTAGGAGGGCCATTTTTGTAGCACATTTTTTTTCTTTGTATGCCAGCCATGGCATGGAAAAGGACGTGGATTAGAATTACATTGTGGTTGGTGCACCTGGATTTAATCTCAAACGGGTATTAATGCAGATGTACGTGGACTGGAATTGTTTTGCTTTCTCATTTATATTTCCAAAAATGCATTATTTGTTGTATAACAAATGAACCTTATGGCGGGACCCCGGGGGTCCCATAAGCCCACGGCTCTCGCATAAACTGCGTTGCGACGTAATTTTATGTCTGTTGAAGGCGAACGATGCGGCAATCTATTCCTCTCGACGAGCTCCACACGATGCGCTTATCAAAGTTTCAAAGTTTTGTTTCTTCTGCGTATTCGTCCTCGCTGCTGCGCTTGGACGACACGACAACAGAACGATCCGCGCCAGGTGGGTCGCGGCGTTTGTGTGCGCGGTGGGAAGGAGTCGCCAAAAAATAAATAAATAAATTGCGGTTTTGACTTCCGTTTATTCGGGACCGCGGGGTCCCGCCATAAGGTTCAAATGGCAATATTTTTTTTTATACTTTAATTTTAAGTTCCGAAGTTATGTTATTTTGTCCATTGGAGCCAAAAGATATGAATACCCAACCGAACAAACATTGTAATACGAATTACTAAATTGGGTGAATTTGTTATGTATCTATTGTTGTCATGATTGCTAAGCAATGAAAACAGATCGTTTTGTCAAATTAGTACATTCGTCCAATCGTGCAATGGAGCAAATGGGTGGAAAATAATCCA